AGTGTTAAAGAGAATATATATATATATATATATATATATATGATTTAGTGCAAATAAATCTGACAAATATCCCATTTCAATCAGAAATACTTGAAAATATGGAAGATACATTATTTCAAACATTAAGTTTTGAAGGTAAAATAAATAAAAAAGTAAGTGATTTAGTGCAACTAATTCTGACAAATATCTCATTTTAATCAGAAATACTTCACAATATGAAAGAGAATTATCATTTAAATATTAAGTCATAAAAGTAAAAAATGTCAGATTTAGTTGCACTAAACCACTTTTTTTTTTTAACTTTTATAACTTAATTTTTAAGTAAATATAATTTTTTTCTTCCATATTGTGAAGTATTTCTAGTTTAAATAGGATATTTGTCCGAATTTGTAGCACTAAATCACACAAACATCCCATTTCGATTAGAAATACTTCACAATATGGAATAAAAATTATGATTTAAAATACACAGTATTAGGTTATAAAGGTAAAAGGAAATAAATATGTGATTTAGTGCAACTAATTCTAACAGATATCTCATTCTAATCAGAAACACTTCACAAAATGGAAGATAAATGTTGATTTAAATATTAAGTTAAGTTAGAAACTGCCATGTGATTTAGTTGCACTAAGTGTAACAAATAATTTACAAACAAGGATCCTTTTATAGTTTTCTAAAAAAAAAAAATGTAAAAGAAACATTACAGTAGAGTCCTTCACCTTTAGTTGTCTCACAAGGTTATCACAAAATGAATATCAAGTTTATTTAAAATGTAAAATATGATTGTGACTAGCAGCAAACCCTTAAAGAATTCACCATGGTAAACTTTCTGCTATAACACATCACTGTCACAAAAAAAACAACAAAGGACAGTTTCTGAATTGTTTCAATAACATTACATATTACATTTATTATTCTTTTACAGTAATAACATTAAGTATAAATACTATGGTGTTTTGGCAGGAACTGTAAATCTTTGCAAGGCATTAAGCAGATAATCATGACGTAGTGAAGTGTGTAACGTCACGTCTATGACGCCAGCTCTCAAGGTTGTCAACTTAAAATATTAGAATCCAAATAACTGGAAGAACGTAATCACAGTTCTTAATAATTTGGTATGCTACATTATTTCTAAATAAAAATCGACCGAGCATGTTCGAATGTCATCACTGTGCAAGTGCAATTTAAGATGTATGTCTTGCCTTAAACATTTGCGCATGTAATTATCCTAAAAACAATGGAGCATTATATAAGCCTTGCGCATTTTCACATCAAGCAGGCCTGTGAGGTACTAGTGCAGCCCTCCCAACACATTCACAATACAATAATAAAAACTCTCCTCGCGGGACACACACTTCATCTACTGATCACACACACACTCCTCACATATGCCACGACTCGGGACGGCATTTGATGTATTTCCTTTCTCTTTATCATAAATATATAAATTATGCTAATTAAGACCATTGCATATTAACCAAAAACTCATTTCGAGTCCCGAGACTTCGTATTGCGTTGTGCAAAAACAACGTGCAAGCTGTGATCATATTCACGACTTACCCGCTGAAAGGTGGGATATTTTCTTTATTTCTCCTCCTTCGGCGAGCTTTGCCACAGTTTGTTTTAAATATGCATAATTAAAAATTCATTTCACAGCTTCCGACGCGCGCTACGAAAGCACACAAAAGAGCTATTTGCATGGATAAGGAGGCTCGGGAAAGCGCTGGTCCTCTTTTTAACTAAATATTTAATGACGTCTCTCCGTTAACTGTCGTGCCGGTGAAGCAAGTGCACCTTAATAGCCAAGGTAAACCCTTATCTGCAGAAAAGTGCCGAAAAATTAACACAAATTTGCTCTTTTGCACTACGTCATGAACATAATTTATGCAGGCCGAGTCTCGCATTGAAAAAATGGCGCTGGCTCGACAGAACGGGAGCAATGGCCGTCTTAAAGGGACAGTACACAGTGTTACTGCAGTTCATTGCACTTGATTCAGACTGCAATATTGCAACAGTGTGAGGTTATGCTTTCACTGTAAAATTACTAATATTAATAAAGAGATCAGTTTATTTTGTATGAATTATTATTGTTTATCAAAATATATTATTTTAATGATATAATATAATAATGGCAGCAAAAATAATATTTTTCATGCTTATTATTACTATTACTATTATTATGTTTTTAAGATTTAAAATATAAGTATTATAAAATAAATAAGTATTTAATAAAATAAATTTAAAAATAAATAAGTATTTAAAATATTAATATTCATGTCATTCTATTCATGCAGTTTTTTAAGTTTTTAACTTTTAAAGAAAATTATATAGGTGATTTATTACATGATAAAATGTAATATATACAGATAAACAGAACAAAATAGACAATTAAGTTGCTCACTGCACTATTCAAACCCTTGAATCCAACTGTAATATTGCTACATTGTGAGGTTATGCACTAATACTAACATTAATAATGACATCAATTTATTATTATTATCACTTGTAAAAATGATGACATAATAATTAGTGTAATCATGACTACTACTATTGCTGTTTCAGTTGCTGTTTTAAGAATTAAAAATATTGATATTCGTGTCCTTCTACCTCTGTGTCCTTGTACGTCTTAAAGTCTAACACATTAAATGAAAACATACAGGCATATTATGATTCCATGTAAAATATTAATAAACAGAACAAAAAGGGCAATTCAAATGTTAAATGCAATTAATAAAAAATGGCATCTCAGCACTTACAAAACTGTATTCCTTTAGCAGATGTTTTTATCCAAAGTGACTTACAAATGAGGAATACTAAAGTAAATCAAGAAATAGAATGATAGAGAAAAAAGAGTTTGGCTACAGCCCAAGCAGTTTAATCTTCAAGCACAGTTTTCCCTCTGATTGTTCCCCAGAGACGATCATTTTAGGGCACTGCAGACAAATGCATCTGTTGCATTGTTATTTGAATTTCTATTGTGATGATTGCATGTTTTTTGAGAAAGCGTCACGCACACCATTAAATGCATTCAAAATAAGATGTTCTTTGCTCATGTCCTTTTTCATAAAAATAAGATGCATATTGATGCATATTCTTATATGTGATTTACAAGGCATATTCACATTTTTTATAATGAACTGGCTTATGAAAAAGACACCGTGTTTCTATACACACTCTGTGTCTTTCCTCAGTTGCCAAGCCAGCTGGCAAACACTTCCATTTGCATGCATTAGCAGCATATTGCCATGGAGCTCAAAGGAGTACTGGGATTGCTGAATACAGACGAATCTGTAATTAGGTTCACAGCCAGTATACAGGCCCCAACTAATACAGAGAAGTTCCATTTTAGATGTACTAAATGCATCTTTATACTGCCTAAGGAGCCTGTGGGCCTAGCCATAAAAACGCATAAATGACGTTTAATTTAGTCACACAGGTGCAAAACAAAATTTGGATCATCATTCCTATTCAAAGTCTGATACGTAATACATTGGGTTGAATATTGCAATTAAATTAAACAATCTTAATGAAACCTCTGCTCTGCTTGTTATACAATTATATTGTTAATACAATGTATTATATTGGGCCTAATTATACAATATTACTTTAGGTTCATCAAGTGTGCAGAATCGTTCCATACTATCTATAGACAGGATATCAATAATAATGTTACTGGGAAAGTAAAATATAAAAATATTCACATCAAATATTTAATTAGACAATGAATAATTCAGCATATAAACAACATACCAAACTGTCAACACTTAAAGGGGTCATATGATGCGATTTCAAGTTTTCCTTTCTCTTTGGAGTGTTACAAGCTGATTGTGCATAGATAAGATCCCTGAAGTTGCAAAGACTAAAGTCTCAAAACCAAAGAGATATTCTTTATCAAAGTTAAGACTCTGCCACGCCCCCCTAAAACGGCTCGTTCTAACACGCCCCACATATCTACCTCACTATGTGGAAATATTAGCACAATGCGGCCCAAATGTGCACGCAAAGAAAGAAGGCATGGTTTCAGGCATAGAGGACCTACAATAATGTACAGTATTTGAAAAATAATGTGTTTTTTGAACATTAAAGCATGTCAACATATTCTGTTACACCAAATACACCAAATAATGATCTTTAAAAAAGCATCATATGACCCCTTTAAGTAATAGCAGGGCATGTTGTCACGCTACAGTATTTGGGGTGTCACAATGAAGCAGCCTGCAATTAATGGAATATTAAATTGCAGAGGTGTAAAGACCTAAAAACCATACTTGAGTAAAAGTACAGATACCTTACAGTGAAAATTACTCCACTACACGTTACAAGTCACCAATTCCAAAACAACTTGAGTAGAAGTCTTAGAGTATCTGATTTTAACAGTACTTAAGTATTTTACTTATACTAAATATAGGCTCAAAAATGCACTAGTCAAAGAGACATGCTAGTTAAAAAACTGTAATGTTGTGGAGAAGCTGCAGAAAATAGGCAGAGGCAAGGATCTCTGTGCTGGTATTTCATGGAAAAACTAGAACAAACAATAAGCCAAAAAACAAAAACCAAAGGGAACAAAGAACAGAATGACTGGCAAACAGACAACCATTACATTCAACAACTCGCAAGGAACTAAAGAAAAACTAGGGCTATATATACACACTGGGGGCTAACAAGCTTAACAAGATAACAAGACACACCTGGGGAGACTAATCAAGGGGAACCAATGAACAAACGGACTACAAACTGACTACAAACACCACGGGAGACAGGAAGTGACATAAAAGTCCAGGGCAAGGCACAGAGAGCATGAAACAAAAACAAGAAAGAGTTGATTTGTGAGGAGAGCAATCACGTTTATTTTCTAAAACCAAAATAAAACTGAACACCTCAAAATAACAAAACAAA